ATCTCTAGTTTTGTTGAAGAGAGAGTATAAGCAGTAATAGGAAGGACCAAGGGTTTTTGCTAGTTGAGATAAGGATAGCTATACAGGGAGTTGACTCGCATCACGCAATGTACTTTGGTTCTATTTACCCCTCCAGTCCTGTCTCTCATCCTTCTTCCCACTTCCCCTTCTCAATCTAATATCTACGTGTTCTTTAGTTTACCTAACAAATGGGTTTGAATTTTTCACTTACAAAAGACTCCTGGCAATCAAGAATCTAGAAATAAGCTGGTGGAGTGGCTCAAATAGTAGAGCACTTGCCTAGCAAGTGTGAGGCCATGAACACACACACAAAAAAAAGAACGAGGGTGAAAATAATCTGTAGAAATAAGCTGGACATGGAGGCTGGGAGGTAGAAATCTGGAAGACTGTGGTTCAAGATCAGCCCAGGCAAAAATTTAACAAGACTCCCATATCAACCAAATAAGCTGGGCATGATAGTGCATGCCTCTCATTCCAGTTAAGGGGGAGGCATTAATAGGATGATGGAGGGCCAGGCTAGCCTAAGCAAAAACAAGAAACCCTACTGAAAGGTAAGTGAAGCAAAAAGGGCTGAGGCTATAGTTAAAGCACTAACCCTGAGTTCAAACCCTAGTACCAACAAAGTAGAGACAAACAGAGAGAGAGAAGGAAGAAGAAAGAAGAATAATCATCTTTAGAAACAGCTTGGCACAGTGAAACCATGTATCAAGTACCTCAACATTTGGGAGGCTGAGGTAGGAGAATCATGAGTTCCAGACCATCTACCTATCAAAATCCTGTTTTAAAGAAAAAAAAAAAAAAAAAAACCTTAGAAATGTCTGCAATGCCACAATGAGATGAATGAGATTACACTTGTAATCCCAGCATTCAAGAGGCTGAGGCAGGAGGACTGCAAATTGTAGGCCAGTCTGGGCTACATAGAGACCTTGTCTCAGAGAAAAAAAAAAAAAAATAGAAAGAAAGAAAAGAAATAGCCAGAATGGAACAACCTTACAAACCTAGCTAAAGAAACATGACCAATTTTCCATTTTCCTAAATTTCAAAAAGCTTGACAGAAGGCAAAGAATATTATAGTACTTTTTAAACATTACCAGTTTTAACCGTTCTTTTCTCCTTTTGCCAAAGGAAGCACTTGACCCAGGTTCTGATTCCTTTTTTCCATCCTCATCCTCATCTTCCTCTTCATCATCCTCAAAACACCAATCTGGCAATAGAGGTGGTGGTGGTGCTTCCTCTATATCACCATAGCGACGAAAAAGTTCTTTCAAATAATCACCCTTATAGATTCCAGGTGGTCTGGCTTGGGCAAAAGTAGCAACTGCTGCTTCAATACTATGGAAAACAAACACCATGCAATTTCCTCACTATTCTCCATTTACACAGAAATTTACTCATATTCAAGGCACAATATAAAATATAATAGAGGTTTATAAAATGGACAAACCATAGCATAGTCCTCACCCTCAAGGCATTCATTCTGAAACAAACTTGTTTTAATACAAGGTATTGATAATTTCTCAACTCTAAAGCTATATTATTATAAGTGTTTATCAGAAATATAGATAGGGTCAGAGAAAAAGAATTTGAATAGGGCTGGTGGAGTGGCTCAAGTGCTAGAGTACCTGCCTAGCAAGCATGAGGCCCTGAGTTCAAACCCCAGTGCCACCAAAAAAAAAAAAAAAAAGGAATTTGAATAAAGCTTTGAGGGTTAAGGTCTGAGTCATTAAAACAGCAGTCAAGGAAGTGTAAATACCAACTGAACAAAAATAAAAGCAAGTTGGTTTTTTTAAGAACCTCCAACAAATCCATCACTAAGAGTACAAGTCATCAGCGAGAGGTAAGCACTGGCTAGGTATGGCACAGAGCGTGAATGCCAGATCTGGAAAGTACGTGAGAACCACTGAGGATGCGTAAAAAGGAAAGCGTACAATCTAATGTGCACTTTGACTAATTATATTCAGGAAAGGATCTACTGTGGGAAAGTCTTTATAAACATAAATAATGAGCCTCCATCAGTCAAGGAGAAAACCCCACTAGTAATATCCCATTCTCTTTAAGTATTTCAGGTAAGCAAGGCTTTTAATCACTGACAACCTAAAAATATACTTCTCAAATAACAGAAACTCAATAAAGACATGCTGACTTGTTTCAATGGAGTAACCCTGTGCTATACTTCCCTTTTATAGCATTGTAAGCTTAACAGCTATAGAAGTCACTATTCAAAAAGGAAAAGAACAGTAATTCCCAAAGCTGAAAACAAGCACAAAATATTGGAAGAATCTGCCTCGGATAATTCTATAAAATGAGGGGAAAAATGTAGAACAGAAAATACATAGTTAATAAGCTTCTTAAGCACTCAACTGAAGTGCTACTTAGTACAAAACAACCAAGTAACAATATTCTAAAGATTAACCATAATCAAAATGAAAAACCCATGGCAAATTATCCTAATCATAAATTCAAGAAACGTAGCTATATAAAATTCTACAAATAAAATACCAATAAAAATTTTTATTAATACTTAAATACATCTTCTTCCACCATAACAAGATATAAATACCTCCAATCCATTTTCTCCACCAAAAAGGCACATATGAGGAAACCAGTGCGATTGAAACCATGGGTACAATGAACACCTAGAAAATAAAGTAGCTTTGAATTAAATTTAATAATATCACGTCAGAGGCCACATTTTGTTTTAAAATTCTAATCTCTCTTCAAAATACTTCAGCTGTTTTATAAAATTACAATGTACATTGTACATTTTAAAAACTTGAAACATCTGTTATAACTTTACCTGTCAATTTAAGTTGTTTAGAATCTAATTTATAGTATCAGATAGAAGCTGAAATGTAACATTGTTTTATTGGTTTAAAACTCTAAGATTTCTCATTAAAAAATTTCAAGAATTCTTCAACTAATATTTGTTAATAAAAATGTGTTTAAAATACAGATAGAGGTATGGCTCAAGTGGTAGAGCACCTGCCTAGCAAGCACAAGGCCCTGGGTTCAAACCCCAGTACCATGAAAATAATTAAATATTAAAAATAAATAAATACAAAAAACTCTCAAAATTTTTAAATAAGGAGGAACATGCAACTCAAAAGGAAGCGCACACATTTCTAATCCACAAATTTTGGGTAAATTTTTCTAGTTGTCCTTTTGATCAATGGCACACGTAGAGAGTCATATCATATTGTAGGGGAAAAAATATAGAAACAAGAGCAGAATAAGCTAATGGAAACATGAACCCATCAGGGGTCAGTACAAGTTGAATGTAACCAGCAAAGGGACTGGCTAGAGGCAGTAACTGATTAACTGATGGATATATAGTTATGTATTTGTTATATATAGGAAAACCAAAGCTACTTTGAAGTCCTCTAGAAACCAGCTGAGTATATCTTTACATTAGCTTATAATCTTTCAAAATAAACTTTAGAAGAAACCTGTTGAGAAAAAGAAATTTACTTTTCCTAAACCCTCTTCCAAGACATATTAAAGATTATTTTAACTACTTTGAAAATAATTATTAACTGTTTTGCAGACATTAACACGTCAACTTTCCTGCCAGGCTAAATGACTCCCCTGCAGAAATCAAAATGAAGCTTTTCCTGTTATCTCTGTTCAACTGGAGAATATTCTAATATTTAAGACTATTTCTTTTTAATGTTACCTTTTACAAAATACTCTATGTATACGAATCATCTTAATCAAATATGAAAATAAACTAGCTAAAATTACAAAAGTTCTAGAAGAAAATATAGGTGATAACCATTGTAATCTTATAGGAAAATTTCTTCAATAAAATACAAAATAAAAAGAAATATTGATAAACTACTTCAAAATGGTAAATGTTTGTTCTTTGAAAGATGCCATTAATAAAAATCATCAGCCACTAGATGGAGGTGTGGCTCAAGTGGTGGAGCACCTGCAGACATGAACATAAGAATTCAAACCCCAGTACCACCAAAAATGTAAAAATTTATTTTAAAAAAAAATCAACCACAAAAAATATTCTCAATACACATATGTGGCAAAGGATGTGTGTCCAGAATACATAAAGATTTCTTATAGCTCAATAACAGAAATACTCTTTGAGGGATGATTTTGAGACAATGTCTTACTACATAGCCCAGGCTGACCTCAAACTCACAATTCTCCTGCCTCTGCCTCTAAAGTCCTGAGATTATACGCATGCAACACCACCATGACCAGCTTGTTTTTCTGAGACAAGGTCTTTCTGTGTAGCCCAGGCTGGCCTGGAATTCACTATGTAACCCATGCTAGCCTCAAACTCCCAATCCTCCTACCTCATTCTCCCGAGTATTGGGATGACAGGTGTGCACCACCAAGCCTGGCGTTGACACCCTAATTTTTTTAAAAATTGAAAGATTTGAACACTTTACAAAAGAAGATCTGCAAAGCCAAAAAGCACATGAGATGAGGATTAACATCATTATCAAAATAATGCAAATTAAAACCAGGATGAAATCCTAGCACACACTCATTAGAATGTTTCAGATTAAAAGAACTAAGCATATAATGTGTTTGCGAAGAAGTAGAGGAACTCTAACTCTCAGACAATACTGGTACGAAGTGCAACATGGCACAATCACTTTGGAAAACTAGTTGATAATTTTTTAAGTTAAATACCACCTATATCAAGTGACTCAGACATTCTTTCCTATTTATTAGCTCAGAAAAATAAAAATTTATGTCTATACAAATATTTGTACAGAGACAAACATCCACAACACAAAGATCATAGCAACTTTATAGATAATAGCCAAAAATGCCAAATATTCCAAACGCCCACCATCAGGTGAATGGATATGCAACACATATACTCACATAATAACTACTACCCAGCCATAAAAAGGAATAAAATACTAAGAAATGAAATAAGGATGACTTTTAAACCACTTTGCTGTGTGAAAGAAGCCAGGTAACAAGTACATAATTTCATTTACATAAAATTCTGGAAAATGCAAACTAGCCTATAGAGACGGAAAGTTGAAAATGACTGCCTAATCTACAATTAGAAGATGAAGGTGCTGGGCACTGCTGGCTCAAACCTGTAATCCTAGCTATTCAAGAAGCAGAGATCAGGAGGATCAAGGTTCAAAGCCATCCAGGAAGACAGTTCTTCAATCCCTATCTCGAAAAAACCCATCACAAAAAAGGGCTGGTGGAGTGGCTGAAGGCATAGGCCCTGAGTTCAAACCCCAGAACCACCAAAAAAAAGAAAGAGAGAGAGAGAGAGAAATGAAGGACAGACAGATGAAGAAAGGAGTGCTGGGGGTATAGCTCAGGGGTAGAGCATTTGACTGCAGATGAAGAAAGGATAGACACAAAGAAGCATGAGATACAAACAAACTCAGGTGTGACTGTGGTTTTATTTGTCAAAATTCATCAAACTGTACATATCAAATAAATGCAATTTATTATATATAGTTATACCTCAATATGTTGATCTTTTAAACTAGATATTAAAATGAGATGCTGGTTCAAGTCTGCAACCGGTATTAATAATGTAATTCAATTGTACGTGTCTAAAACATAGCTGTTTTCAGCAACTGAATTTATCAAAAATAAGTTATAAATTTGATGCACTAAAATAATATTGCACCAGGCAGATTACAGCTGGCTCACAACTGTAAACTTAGCTACTTGAGAGGCTGAGATCAGGAGAATGTTAGTTTGAGGCCAATCCAGGCAAAGAGTTCATGAGAACCCATCTCAACCAATAGCTAGCTGGGTGCTGTGGCATGTATATGTCATCCCAAACTAGGTGGGAGGCTGAGATGAGGACTGCCATTTCAGGTCAGCCTGGGCAAAATGTTCACGAGACCCCATCTCAATAGAAAAAATAGCTGGGTGTAGTAGTTCATGCCTGTCATCCCAGCAACTACAGGAAGGATAAATAGAAGGATCTCAGTCCAGGTGGACCTAAGCAAAAAATGAGATTCTATCTCAAAAATAACCAAAGCAGGGTTGGACGCATGGCTCAAGTGGTAGAATTCCTGCCTGGCAAACAAGAGGCCGAGAGTTCAAACTCCAGAACCACAAATGATAGTTACAGTGATGATGATGATGATAAAATAACCACAGCAAAATGGGCTGGAGGTGTGGCACAAGCAGTAGAGCTACCACCTACCTAGCAAATGTGAACCCCCTCCCTGAATTCAAACCACAGCATACCCAAAGGGATGGAGGCAAGAGGAACTCAAGGTGGAAACCAGCCTGGACTGCATAGTGAGTTCCATGTCAGCATGGACCAAAAAACAAGACCCTGTCTCAAAAAAAAAAATCAAATATCAATTTCATTTCATATTAAGATAAGGTTTTTCTTACTTGAAAAATTAAAAACCACTATCAAGTGAGTCAAACTGCTTATTTTTTCATCTACAATATAAAATGATCATTAACATTTAGAACAAAAATCTTTTTTTCTTTCTTTCTTTTTTTTTTTTGGTGGGACTTGTGTTTGACCTCGGGGCTTTGTACTTGCAAAGTGTCTGAGCCACACCTCCAGTCCATTTTACTCCAGTTATTTTGGAAATATGTTTGAGAGACCCTATCTCAAAACTACTTAACATAAAACAAGGCTGGCAACAGAATGTCTACCTAACAAGCTGAAGTCTTGAGTTCAAACCCCAGTACTGCCAAATAAATAAATAAATAAATAAATAGAGTGCCAAGAAAAGACTCCAAACTACCTCAGGATTCAACTTTTGTTTCTTTCAAAAAGTCAGCTGAGGCTAGGGGTATGGCTAGTGGTTCAGCTCTTGCCAGAAATGTGAGAGGCCAGCAGGACAGGGAGTCAGCTGAGAAAGGGAAGGGGAAGTACAAAAGAGAAAAAGGTGTGGGCTGTGGTTTTAGGGGCAAGGGTGGAGCTTAACAAGAGATTAGATGTATTTACAGACTGAGAAGAAGGACTTACTTAAATCACAAAGGTTGATTGACAATCATAGAAATGACAATATCTGAAGTGTCTGAAGTAAAAAGATAAAAAATGGATATCAGCTTTGAAAAGAAAGACACCCCTTGAAAATGAACAGATATCATCATGAAATTAAATTCCATTATCTCTGTTGCTTTGTTATTTTTCCTCTAAGCGCCTCAAAAAGATTACATAGATATTAGCTAAATGACTCAAGTGGTACAGTGCCTGCCCAGCAAGTTTGATTTCAAACCCCAGTACTAGAAAAAAATATTGTATCGGCTATAAACAGTCATGTGGTAGTACGCACCTCCAATCCCAGCACTAGGACAGCAGAGGCATGAGGATTGTGAGTTTGAGGCCAAATGTATGGTCTCAAAAAATGATAGTTAAATAAATTAGTTATAGATGTTTTTATCCAATATGTATCTTAACCCAACATGTAAATTTATTTATACCTTATATGTCAGACTAATTTAAGCAACAAATATTTCAACACCACTACTGCCTTTGTATCATTTTTACTCTAGCAAAACTAACATTTCATGAATAGGAAATATAACAGTAATTGCCAATTAAGTAAGAAGTCCTGTGAAAACACATAATTTCTAAAAGTACCATTTCTCTTTTAATAGTCTTCACTATACAAGTACAGTATTTTAGTATTATTGTTAGTTCTATCTCAAAATGTTA